CACCGTCCCGTGGGACAGAATTGTCTTCTGATGGACACCTGCAGTTAAATCACTGGTTAGAGGGGCACCAGCTACGGGGAAGGTGTTCATATTCAGAACACCAGTGTGCTGTTTGTGACCACTCTTCTTTTCAGTTGGTAGTTTTATAAAGCTTGCCGTTTTCAGGAGGCACTAATGATAAGGGTAGATGTAAAGGAATGTCTGGCCACTTAGATATTTGAATATAACAAAATTTGAATTCATGTTATTAAAACTTTACACAAAGGGAGAGGGGAGCTTCTGTGAGTCTTTTTGTTTTTGTTTTGATGGATCTCATTGTGTAGACCAGGCTGGCCTTGAGTTCACAGAGATCTTCCTGGCTCTGCCTCCTAAGTGCTGGCATTAAAGGTGGATAAGGAGTAAAGATGGATTACTTTTCTAATAAATGCTGTCTAATTACCTTCTTTAAACAAATTCAAAATATTTTTATTTTCTTTTAAAAACATATAAACACATAGAATTCCCAATAACTCCTCACCACCTATAGTTCTTATACTTCCATAGTAGGATTTAATCCTAAACATGATCCTACAAGGGAGGCAGAGAAAAGACCATTGTTCCCATTCTACCGACAACAAAACAAGACAACAAACCCCCAAAACTAAGGCTAAAAAATTTCAGTGCCTAAAAAATTTAGGGGTAAGATTTTGGACTTTTGCCACTTGGTACAGTATTATTCACAGTATATACCGACAAATCAAGCCAGGGGTCAGTGCTGTGGATGGTCACGTAACAATAGCTCCTCTCTCTGACATTTAGGGGTGTTTTCCCCGCTCCACCAGCTTACCGTGTTCACTTGCTACAGCTCTTGACAATGTGGAAAACAGGTAAACTGGCTCCCACACATTCACCCCTCCCTGTGTAGGGAAACCTGGATGAAGCACTGAGCACACAAAGGTGAAGCAGACCTGCTTTCCATGTGAGGCATTCAGAAGGTTTCTACAAAGCTTTAGTGTCACGGTTGGCCCAGAACAGAGATGGTCTGATCCCACACAGACCAGAGTGTTTCCTATTTTTTTCCTAAGCCCACTCTCCCAGTACAATTCCCAACAACTATTTACTATAAAAACAGTGCCTAGCTGAGAATGTACAGGGTTAGGAAGTACTGAGTACAAAAGCTCTAGAAATGAGACAAGGGTGCATCAGCTGGACTACTAGTGAACCACAGGAAGGGTGTTTATCAGTTTCCATAAACAACTTTGATAAAGATGAAGCAGGATCAGATACTTTTAGCTTCACAGTCAAGGAGAGAGAATTCCCAACATCCCAGGGTTAAGCACACCTGAAGCAGAACAAGGAGTATACATACTGCTTAGAATCATGATCTACAATTTTACAGTAGTTACCAGCATTTCCTGCTCTAGGCAGTTTCAAATATCTGGGAGATTGCACTTACAGGGTTGTCAGTATCCTAGAAGATTCCTGGGCAGGTTTTATGAATGCTGACAGCTGTGCAGCCTTGGGGGGTAAGACCAAGCTGTCATCTTCCTACAATCCCTCACTATCCCCTTGTCTTTAATTCCCCTTCCTTAAAAAATTAACAAAGCAAGCATGTGGTAAGTATGTTTCCATTTTCCACCAAGAATGCAGACAGGGACAACTTCCCCTTCTATCATCCTCTCCAGCTCTACCTCCTCCCTCCCCCACCCTGCATGACCTCATAGCTATGTAGAAAGGACACCAGCTGCAGGGAGGGTCTGCCTGCACCAAGTGGGATCCTTACCATCATTAGTAATGCCAAGAGGCCCAGACAGCCCTGTCGACATGTGCAGTGTGTTACAGCTCTGTGGTCTCCCCACATTCACAACAAAGCTGCTGTCGGCAAATGGAAAGGCTTTGCCTTGCTGAAACAAATGTTACAAAAGAACACCCAGATATTTCTTAACAAGTCAAGCAGCCACTGCAGCAACAATGAGAAACGCAAAAACCTGGTCACCCAGCCTCACGAGGCCTACAGAGATCCAATAACTTCATCTAAAGAAAACGAAAACATAAGATTTTTCAGGGGGAGAATAATAGGAGGTTGTTTGTAAGAGGAAAATTGCATGGGAAATAAACATTAGGGAAAAATGTATATATGGATATACTGAAAGCCAATGCCTTTATCTCAGTCCCTGTGGATGTAACTGCATTCTTTCACAATTCATTAATAGAACTCCATTCCTGTTAACCAATGTCATCTTGTTCCACAGAATGAGGCCCTAAGACTTTATTAGATGTTGTGATAAGTACTATATACCAAACACTTATTACTAGCTGGATACTAGGCTGTACTCTGTAAGAACTCCTCACAACCTGTTTTGCACACAGTTAACACTATATCCATGTTTACCGTTGTGGCAACAGGGTCCTGACAGGGTTGTGAGCTCTCACTCTCTCTCCTAAGTAAGAATCTCTTCCTAAGGTTATCCATGTTTACATTTAAATATCTGTAAGCTGTTACCCAGCCAACTTAGGTCCCAACCTAGACACACACACACACACACACACACACACACACACACACACACACACACACACATCATGAGCTCTGGATCTCTCTTCACAATGACTTTGTACCATCTCTACTTGGATAAACCAACAAACTGAATGTGAGAGCGCTGCTAATCTGCTCAGAAGTGAATACTCCCTTCAGGAAATAGTACTTCATTCTAGAAGAGTGGAGGTCCTAAGTGACACCCTCCTGCTCTGCAATGTTACAAATCCAGAGAGAAAGCAAGTGCTGTCAACTCTGCTCTTGAACTTGTCTTGGATCCACCCACTTGATGAGGTACAATGAGAGTAATTTAAACACTGCTATGATCACATTGTGCTCCCCACCCCAAATATTTTTCAGTTTGTAGGGTGGCTCACTTCATACAGAATGTAGTCTAGACTCCAGCTGCTCAGACGGCATGTGTGGGAGAATCACTTGAATCTGTAAGTCAAGATCCCATCCTGGAAAGCAGAGTGAAAACTAGAGGGGTGTGTGTGTGTGTAATTTAAATGGCTAATCATTGCTATTAGAAATGATCAAAAATTCTTGCTGGTTCCTAAAGGGCTTTGCTAAGTCTGATGCTATCTTTCCACCATCCTCCTGTCCTAAGTCTCCAGCCTCTGAGCTCCTCTTTTTGTGCCAGTCCTCTCCTGCATTAGTGTTTTACAACAGGCTGTCCTACAACCATGAGGCTCTTACCCTCTTTGCTAAGCTAGCACCTGTTCATTGTTGGAACCTTAGCTCAAAGATTACTCACAAAATAGCCTTCTCTGCCTCTTGACTCAAATGTCTCCCATTTCTTTGTGACACCTATCCATTTGAAATATGCATATAACCCCCTATTAAAGGTTGTGTCTCTATGCTTTCCTTAACTGAATATGAATTTGATAAGGGCAAAGACCAAGTTTATCTTGTATCCATTATGCTTAGTACAGTGCCTAGCATGTGTGAATTACTCAATCAGTACTTCTCACACCATTAAACAAAAGAAATTTGCCTGAAGTCACAGAATATGAGCAAAAGTCTTCTTTTTTTCTTTTCTTTCACTCTTTTTCCCTTCCTTCCTTCCTTCCTTCCTTTTAGATAGAGTTTCTCTATGTAGTCCCTGCTTTCTAGGAGCTTGCTATGTAGACAGGATATCCTTGAACTCATAGAGATCCTCCTGACTCTGGAGTGCTAGGATTAAAGACATGCATCACCATGGCTAGACAGGTCTCCCCAACCCAAGCACATTCCTTTCTAATATGTTTTAAAGCAAGAGTTATCTATAAGCTATAGGGATATAAAAATTTGAAGTCTCAAAGTCCTTATTCGCCCACATGGTTGGAGAGTTAGATTGAGTGAAGGAGTGAAGACTGGCTGGAATGGTAAGGAGGGCAAGGAATCGCTCTCCTATGCCACATGTGACATAACTGGCATCTACTGGCCCATATGGATAGTCCAGGAGAGAAGAAGGGGTATGAATAAGAGAAAGGAGATCTTAGAGTTTGCTGAGCAGCAATAAGCCTGAACAAAATAAGTTTCAGGAATTAAGTAAACAAATTGCAATAAGGACTTAGAGGCTGCTTTTGATAAAATGCATCAACTCTTGACTTTGGCCATGCAGATACCCAATGAGATACTAAGAGCATTTCCCTCCATTTGGCATCCATGGCCCTTGATCTGCATCATTCTCCCGTGACTATTTTAGATTCCAGGAGCAACAGGTCATCTGATAGGTGCATCAGCAGCCTTTGACATTAATAGAGGCTAATTCAGTAACAGGGTATTCCTTAACAGCTTCAGGTCAAGGCTCTCTCTGAATACCCCGAGCTAATGATCAAAGGGACCCCAGTCTGACTTAGACCATTTCTCTGTGCATGCTCCTTACCCTCTACTTTATCTTTTCCTATGTAACCTAGGAGCTAATGCCCTTGTTGGGCAAGGGCCAAGAAAGCTGGTCCTCTGCCTTCCTACTATACCCAGATTGGTTACATGTCCTCCCTTGCCTTCAATACTTCCCTCATTTGATAGGAAATGTCCTTCTGTGTATGTTTATCTTCTTATTGGTTGTTGAATAAGTACTGTTGGCTAATGAAGAAGCAAGTTAGGCGGGACTAGGAGTCAAGGAAGATTCTGGAAAACGTAGTAAAGAAGTGTTGTGATCCAGGCAGGAAGTGACATAGCAGGCAGACTCATATATAAGCAGGGACAAACAGGAAGTCATTCCTTTTCTCTCTTGCTCTTGCTCTTCCCCCTGCTCTCTGCTCTGGAGCCGCCATGTGAGCCCAGAAAGACAGGATGCCTTCTGCCGGCATCCTCCATAAGATAAGTCTTATGATTATGGTTGATAATTAAGACTGAGCTAGCAGATGAGAAATCCTAGTCATTGGCCAAGCAGCCTTTGTACCTAATATAAGTCTCTGTGTGTTACTTGGGTCCTTAACATGGTGGCTTTATCGTTACACTCATTAATTGGCATATTGGGCTAGTTAGCAGTAAGTACCTGGTCCACTGGAATTCCTGGAGCTGGGTCTTCGCCATAAAACTCTTATAATAAAATCTTTATTCAATCTAGCTGGAAACATAAGCAGAGAGATTTGGAAAGACAAAACATTTTTTTCACAAGGGAAGAAAAAGTGCAGTTTCCTCTATACAAGTCTTCTCTCTCTCTCTCTCTCTCTCTCTCTCTCTCTCTCTCTCTCTCTCTCTGTGTGTGTGTGTGTGTGTGTGTAGTATGTGTGATGTTTGGTATGTATGTGGTAAGGTGTGATGTGTGTGTGTGTGGTTTGTGCATGTGTGTGTGTGGTGGGGTGAAGGGGTGCACACAGCAAAGAATACTCTTGAAAATGCTTGTAAATATGTTTCTCTGGGCTATGAGGACTTGGGAATAATAATTTTCAATTTGAGACCCAGGAACTCACTTCCATTGTTATAATCCATATTCTCTGTTAGGTGATTTGTCATTGATCTTCAGGCCGGGCTGTGGGGACAGAGGCACAGAGGGCATGACTAGTGCAGGTTATGCAGCTCCTTGTCCCCCTTGCTGTTTTCATAGTCAGGTCTTTTACTACTCAAGCATAAGTCTTCATATTTTTCCGTGATGAGTGTAGACTTGTTACTCTTGTCCCAGTTCTCAAGTCCTGGGGACTCAGGCTCTGTGTCTTAGGTTTTCACAAGAAACATTCAAGTATAAGTAACTTTAAAGGGTTTATTTCTCATGTGGCAATCCCTTTGTGTGGATGAAATGATAATAGCAACTAGGTTATCAACTATTTGGCAAAAGAGAAAAAAAAATTCTGGTTTTGATATTTTCCTCATGTTCTCCATAAAAGGAAATAAAATGCTTCAGTAAATTTAGTATCATCCAGCATGGTTAGGAATGCTTAATTATGTAATCCACTAACAGTGTCTAAACCACACACAAATTGCCAATTTCCAAAGATTTAAAATAAAACAGAGTGCTTTAACATTTTCATTCTTTGGTGAGCCTGAGGTGCACATGGATCTGGGTGTATCTGGAGGAACAGTTTAATGTTTTACTACAATCATGGTCTTACTGGCAGGCTGTGGAGTGTCAGACAGTAGAGTCATTGTATCTAGCATTGGCTATTGTTACTGGCTGGCTTTCTCACTAGATTTTTTATTTTTGAAAGAAGATTCACACTGAGTAGGCATTTATAGCACGAGTGCTATGATCACAACATTCTGTTCATAAGAAGACTGACTGTCAGGAGTCTGTGGGGTGTTCCTAACCCCCATGCTAATTTTTCTCTCCTCTGGTGTCATAATTTTGGACATTGAATACATAATAGCAACGAGTTCCAGAATTTCTAGTAAACTTACAATATTTTAAAGGAGAGATTTTTGACCTTATGGTCAAAGAAATCAAAGGGGAAGAGGAAGGAGACCTACTGTGAACTGGAAGAAGACCTACTGTGAACCAGAAGAAGAGACTCAGCTCAGAGGAAGCGAAGTCATAGTTCCTCTTTACCAAGGCTGGGTCTCTCATGTGGTGAACAGGAAAAAAAAAAAATGCTGAGAGACATTAAGGCACAAAGTGAGCTTTCTTTCCACTGATATTATACTTTCAAATATCATGGAGTTTAAAATCATCTTATACAGTCATAAAACACTGTTCCCTGCCCCCTTCTTGAATCTGTCTTTGTGAACTGATCCCCTTCCCCAGATCAACCACATATAACTAATTCTATTTTCTTGGGAAGGCAATTGTTGACTAATGAATCATCTTTCCTGTAATTTTTATTTTTTGTAGCCTTAGCTTGGCCAAGTTCCCTGGCATTCCTGCTGAGGTATGTAATGGAAAATTTGACCTCACACTTTTTGCTTTTTTGTAACATCACAAAACACTGATATAGCAGGGCTACAAAAAAGGTAGCCTAGAGATGAAGGGATGCACAGAAAGAAAAGGCTTAGTGTGGAAAGGAACAAAGATACACTAAATCATCTGGAAAGGAAACATTTAGGCTCCCAGACATGAAGTTACATTTATCTTCAAGAACAGCTCATTTGTTACAGCTTAGGATGTCACAGTGTTTCCATCATAACTCTGCTGTTCTGAGGATTGTAAACTAGCCATAAAAAGCCACTCTCGAAATTAACTTGGAACATAGGCAGAACATTTTGTAGATCCCAGAACTTGTTTCAAAATGGTGACTTTTAGGGTGGGGTAGTCAGAAGGAATAGGTGTCAGGAAGTGATTTCTTGCATGTAGTCACATCTGAGCTGAAATAAAACTTTGGCAATCAGTCCTGTGTGATCATATCCCACTGTCTAAGGAAAACATAACAGGTCACACATCTGCTCTGTAATTGGGACACTTGGGATTGGCAGTGGAGACACACTTTCAGCAAAGTCCACAGCAGAATGAATGAAGTGGTTATGAACACTGTCCTTTTACAACTTTCATGTCTTCCTGTACTAAGTCAAAAAAGTAATTTCTTCAAGAGGATAGCCCAGACAACACTTTAGGCACTGATCCAAAGTCTGTCTCTCTGTAGCTCAATGATCGATCCTACGATGCAAGAAAATACTAACTTGGCTGTGATGGGCAGAGTCCCACATGGCTGCCAGCACCAGCTCTTACGAATGTCACAAGCCCCAGGTAGAGGGCATCCTATCTAGCCCAATCAGATACCCAAATGGGGTGTTTCATGTAAACAATGATGGCTTATGTGTACTGTTTGTTAACCCAGACAGTGCCCGGGGCTGTCAAAAAAAAACATGCAAGGCAGGACTTAGTATATTATTCATCTGGATGTGCTGAAAAAAGGACAGGAAAAGAGTGGACACAGAGAAGCCAAAACAAGTCACTACTTAGTTACTCAGGCTGCTAGTAAACCATGCAGATGTTTCTCAAGGCTACCCGAACTATCCCTAAAGAAGCTATGGTCATCTGCATACTCTACCCTGTTAAAATGAAATGCGGTTAACTGACATGATACAAATGACTCTGAGGAGAGAGGGCTTTCATTCACTGTCTACAGGCTGAGTGAACAATGCTTATCTTATTAATGATTCTCTTGAAAGAGGAAGTTAAACAGGAGACCTATGAAATATGCAAAAAGTTACAGAGATTTCTCTTGACTTAGTTTTATTGCAGATGACTACCGGAGCCAGGGACTGTCTTAGATTCGCACTTCTCATGGACTTTGGTGAGGGGCAGGAAGAAAAGGGAACATCAGATGGTCTGGAGGGATTCTATTTGTCCAACTGTAAAAGCATGTGGACAGATAAAGTTGTTAACTACAAAGAAAACTACCAGAGGAAAAAAACCGACCATGTCTTGTTTAATATCCTATTTACAGGAAGGATTGAGATCTTGGATCAAGAATGACCTGGCCATGATATCTGAAGAATATCAACCTTAGGGAAGATACTCTTCTATATTCTATTGGATACCTAATATACCTGAGATACTTTTGATATTCCACATTAGAACAAGATACTATTTAACTTGGAATATGTTTAATTTTTCTATTTCCCATGACACCTTAATTCAAATTGCTCTTTTAGTAGAGCCCACTAAAGCCCCCTATGCCTTTAGCACTTTAACATTCTGGAAGCAGGGGAATCTTGTATCATTAATTATTCCCCTCTCCCATGCCATCCAAAGCACTTGGAGAAAGAAGCTGGCCAATATTTTTGAGGGCAAGTTAATAAGTAAACAGTTCTAACTGAATTGGATGTAATGTGTGTGTTTTCTTTCTTTCTTTTCTTAAGCAGTACACCAAAAGCAGAGGGGGTATCTCTGTGTTTGATGGGCTATCACTTTAGGACAGTAATTTCCATAGAATTAAACTCCAGTGAAAGTCAAACCTGGCACAGAACTGTATTCTTAGTCACTTAGAAGGCTGAAGAGAAGGACTGCAAGGTCAAGACCAGCTTGTGTAACTTAGGAAGCCCCTGCCACACAAATAAAACAGATTTTAGTACATCTTGTTTGGTTGTTTATTTTTGTTTTTGGTTTTGGTTTTTTGAGACAGGGTGTCTCTGTGTAGCTTTGGAGCCTATCCTGGCACTCCCTCTGTAGACGAGACTGGCCTCAAACTCAAAGAGATCCACCTGCCTCTGCCTCTCGAGTGCTGGGATTAAAGTCGTGAACCACCAACGCTCAGCTTTATATCTTGTTTGTTATTGGAGGTAAATTTATGGATATTTATAACGTCTATTTATGATGAAATAATAAATTTGTCTCCTGAACTGGAGAGGTATGAGGACTGCTGTGAGTTGTAGTTCCTACTGAGTTACAGTGTTAGTCCCTGTATTAAAAGGCAAGAACAGAAGGAAAATGTCTCAACAGCAAATATTAATTTCTAATTTCCATGGGCAGACATTTTTGTGTGTACCCTTTCAGAGCTATTTGGTTGGCACATGTTTTAGTTAGGGTTATTATTACTGTGATGAGACATCATGACCAAAAGCAACATGGGGAAGAAAGGGTTATTTCATTCATGGTTATAGATCACAGTTCATCAGCAAAGGAAGTCAGGGCAGGAACTCAAGCAAGGCAGGAACCTGAAGTCAGGCGCTGATGCAAAGGCCATGGAGGAGTACTGCTTACTGGCTTGCTCAGCCTAGTGTCTTATAGAACCCAGGACCACCAGCCTATGGTGATCCCTCCCCAATCACTAATTTAGAATATGCCCCATAGGTCTGCCTAAAGCACTATTTTATGGAGACATTTTCTCAATTGAGGCTCCCTCCTCTCAGATGACTCTAGCCTCTGTCAAGTTGATATAAAACTAGCCAGTACAATACATGTAAGGCAAATATGCATTTACTTTTTTCTCCTTCATGATACCAAAATTGGAGAATACACATTAAACAGTGTGTTCTACTGCACATTTAGGACTTAAAAATATACCTGGAGGATCTTTTTATGACCACACAGAGAGAGCTTTCCAGTCTGATTACATTCGGATATATCCTGTTTATTTGACCAGCCCTGATATTACATATAATGTCCACTCAAGTGAGTAGTAGGAAGTCACATTTGGCAGATTACGTTTGTCTACTTCTACTTCCAATTCCAGTTCTCTTTGAAGAGCAAAACAGTGAAGAGAAAATGGGCAAAATGGAA